GCTGACACTCGCTCATGCCAAAGCGGCCTCACGTCCTCAACAGGGGATTGTCAGATCTTCTAAAATATGGAAAAACAGAGACGCTTGCCAGCCACACTGGTGTGCAGCACATGGGTAATAGGCATAATAGGGTCAGGCCTGCATTTAATAAACAATTACCCATCTATAATAGATGAGTCCGGCTCCTAAGGCCCAGCACCTGGCCTGGGTCGAGAGGGGGAACAGGAGAGAGAGAGCAGGGGAGAGAGATAGAGCGCAGATGAATGAATAATGCAGACGAGATACCCATCAGAGCACACAAACGCAGGGGCCCACACAGCGCCAATTATCTTCCCCTGCTAATGATGATCATCTTGATGCCCTCCCCCAACACCCTCCTCACCCCCACCACCCCCGCCACCCTGCACCCCCGTGCCTAAACCTGACATTTACCCAGCTGCCCCTGCACCTCACCATGCATCCTGCTCCCTAACTCACCAAAAACAGAGGATGGAAGGAGTCGAGCTGAAGTGGCGACTGTTTTTACATGTTGCTCTTCATTTTGCTTGAGATCCATCTTTGCTCATGGTTTTCCTCGTGGCAGGGTGGCGAGGGCACAGCGGCCGTCGCTCTTCTTTTGAATTACAAATCAATCAGGGACTTCTCTTCAACGGCTTCCCATTCAGTCCAAGGTCACCCAGATTACACAAGGTTAAAGTGTGTGTGCATGCAGACAGACCTGAGGGTGGGTGGATGGGGGGGTGGGGGGTCGCTAGCTGGATTAGCATACAACTCTGACAGGGCGGGGGAATTAAAGGCAGCGCAGAGGTACGATGGCCAAGCAAAACGGTCCCCGCTCTCTGCCGTATTTGAATAGACGGCCTAAGATACGTGAAAACAGAGAGGCAGCGAGGAAAAGCTCTTTGGCCCCCAGGATCAGAGGGGGGGACCTGTGGTGCTCAAGCTGACTGCTAGTAAAGTAGATAGGGCCCCAGTAGACTGCTTCAATATGGGCTCTGGGAAAGATACACAGCCATTTTGGCTCCCTCAGGGCCCAAGTCTGTGGTTATAATGGGATCAGAGCCATGACCCTCCCAGGACACCATACCACTATTGGATATTCTATTAGTTTCCTCTGCAGTGAAAAGAAGTCTGTGCTCAGCTACTTTTCTCACTCAGAATCACATTTGTTTTACTTTTTATGTAGCTTTAACAGTGACTAATCAAATTATTTAAAGTTTCTACGAAGAGACTTCATTAACAGTGGAACAGAGTGCAGTGCTACTTATGACTATTGTAAAACCTTCTAATATATAAAGCTATATACTGTGGATATCTTCTAATCATATCTAATGTTCTTTATGTATGCAAGGATATTGTAAGCTATTAACATATGCACAAAAAAAAAAGCGAGCCCCATAATTGTTCCTTTTTACCATTTAATCCCGGCACTGGAAGATACAGCAGAGATCACATTAACATTTACATTTGTGAATCCCCCACCTCCTTGATACAGCTCCAGCTTTCAGCCCCAGCATCTCATCTGCCTTTACATAATATCAGGCTGTATTAATGCTACATATGGAGCTCCACTGTCTGTGCTGTGTAGATTTACATTTTCCTAATGATGTGCTTTCATTTTTCCTCCACTATCCCCCTGTCCTTCCCTTCACCTCCAGCCCACAGCCCACGGTGATTTAAAACACATACAACTGTACTGCCGTTTTACTGCAGAATAACACAAAGCGCGGGTTGAGACACCTTCGGTCGCCCTGGCCCCATCTGTTGCACATCTGGAAGTGGTGCGCTGCACCAATAATTGGAAGTCAATTTGTTTGAAGTTATGTATTTGGCATCTGGCTCGATTCATAAAAAGTCTGGAAATCGCATTAATTTTATAGCATCTCGAGAAGGCCCAGCCACTTTTTTTTCATCTCGCTTGTGTTCCATCGTTAATGCACATGAGGCCTTGCTAGTCTAGTGACGTGGGAGTTTGTCAGGCACTGGTCAGGGTGTGGTCCTTAATAAAAACAGCATGGAGGCCAATGCCCTAAAGAGTCAAGGGATGAATTACTGTGGAGCACTAGAGAGACGATACAAATCTTTTGAGTGGCTGATCATTAAAAGATTTGCTGAAAATTTGGCTAAAATTTTTATCATTTCACCTTTAACTTTGACCTTAACCTCAGCTCATTTCTTATTTTTCCTGAAGGGAAAACTCATCCAGGGCCTAGTTTGCCACATTTCCAGTAGACGGGCTGACTGATTGAGAAGCAGCATGGTGTTGTTTGTCACACAGCTCTGAGTCATGGCTGAAAATAGATATGACACTTGATGTTTGGTGCCTCACTGCTGGCTGTCATATTGTTATTCCCACTCAAATTTCACCTAATTTGTGCACAAGTCTTGTCACAGTCCAGATCCTGATGAGGGCTTTTAGGTGGTTATTTTTTTTTTCCCTTTCGCTTTCTCGTATGTGTGGCAATGAGGTGCAATGAAATACACACCTGTGAGTGCGTGTGCATAGTTTAGTGTGTGTGTGTGTGTGTGTGTGTGTGTGTGTGTGTGGTATGCATATGTGTGCATTTCTGTTTGCACACAAGCACATTTGATTAGGCTTGTTTGTGTGCCAGTTGAGTGTGTGCGGCCCTGTGCCAGTGTGTGTTTGCTGCGCTCCAAAGTGAGTCACCTCAGCGGGAGGTGATTAAGAGTTGCCAATGGCAGGCTCGACAGGTGAGTACATTGTAGCACGCTGGCAGCTGTGGCATCCGCGCAGGTGACAGCTTCTCCTGCTCACTGGTGGTGTCAGTGTTGGTGGGTGGCAGGAGGTCTGACAACGTTGTTTTGGTGACAGAACGACTCCGCTGTGAGGTTCACGACATCACTTGCCTTCTTTAGATTTGTCAGTTTATACCAGGAAGTATAGGGAGTACCATGGACTTTAGTATATACTGGCAAAGCACTATTCCATATGTGAAAGCACTGTTTACCACTATAAGGAATTTTAGTTTATAGGCCTTTTGAAATAATCCACCACAAATGTTCTCTGTTGTACCATACGCCTGTGTTGGGTTTCTTTTTATTAACACGCTGCACAATGTGAGGACAAAACACAGCCCATTGCTGCCACCTGCTGTTGGACATTTGACACAGCAGCAGCCCTTTTATCCAAGGAGTGAGGTAATTCATTCAGGGAGACCATTTTGCTGGGCATGCAATAGTAAAACAAAAAAAAAAAGAAATGGAAAGATTATTTTACAAGGTGTTCAGTTTTTGGCTGATACCGTAATAACCCAGAAACCTGAAATCTGTTTCTCGTGAAGGCGATCAGCGAAAGAGCAGAGGAAGTGAGAGATGTCGGTTGTAGGATTGCAAACTTTCCCAAATTTGTTTTACATGTTCAAATTTATGTTCTCCTCTTAACATATGCAGCTGATGTCTCTAACATAATAGCCGTATCAGATATCCACGCTGTTTTCTCAATCCGCTGTCGACACATCCCACTTCGCTTTCACATCAGTTCCTGTGCGTTTCCAAAACCATGGGTTGATGAACTGTGATATTCCAAATAAAAAAGTCGCTTGTTCTGATGTCACCGTTGCCTCATCCGACCACATTTCCTTTTGAAGCCTGTGCATAACTGGCCTTGAACTTTGTCCATGATAGCCTTTGATATGGAAAGAAATGAATTAGTTAGGAAGTTTAATCTGACTTCCCTTTTTAGGATAGTATGCTTTGTCCCCCTGGGGAAGCCTGAAAAGAGTGTTATGTGAATTGGTATGAGTATTATTTTTTCTGAATCTGTCAATACTTTCATTAAGGTAAAGGGTATTCATCAGTATTATTCTACATCTGACTTTGACTTTCATCAACTCCTGCACTAACACTAATTGGATTTGTGTATTTTTTTTCTCAAGTTTAGTAAAACAAGAAAGGAGAAAAAAAAAATCATTGAAAATCAAAATGTAAATTGAGCCTTTTGAAATTTTACTCATGCTGACTCTTTCTTAGATACTCTTCATGTTTTTTTAGCATAATGAAAATCTATATTTACCTTCCATAACTGCTTTGGCCAATTACCCATAAACATCACTCACCACTTTGTAGTTGGAGTGGCTATACCGCGTAATGATTGATTGCTTCAGTCTTATTTGCAGCTAAAGAGGAGATGCACACGAGGGAGTGTTTCGATTTCATTATAGAGAAACACACGCTAATAACACTAAAACATTAATTCAGAGAGGCTTTGAGAAATTCATTTGGGAAATATTGGTGTGTGTGTTTTTATACTCGTCTGTTTGTTGTATTATTAATGCATGACTTCAAGATAAGAAAACTACATGTTGATGATTGAGTTCTGAACGATACAACCAGACAAAACAGTAAGTTTGTAAGATGTGTGATCACAAAAGGGTCAAAGTTTGTTTGTTTTTTTATCACTATGTCGCAAACAAGGTTTCTTCAGCAAACCTTATCCACGATACAAACAGTTTATGATCGTGTTCCTCCTGCAGTATGAAAGGACACATCTCCTCATCCAGATTACCTCAAAGGAAACTTTCTTAGCTCTCAGCTAACAGCTCTCATAGCAACTCTTTATCCCTCGCCATTATTCATCCTCAAGGGCTCATCAGCTCACAGTAGGCTCATCAGAATTATTACTCCTCCTCTACTTGTCTTTATTATCCAATTTCCCTCCTCTCTTCTCCTTTCTGCCATTCATTGCCAATCAGCCACCTTGTAAGCCGGCCCTTCACCTTCCACCGCAAAACTTTTCAGGCTTTGTTCACTCTTTTTAGTCCTGTTGTTTTCCAGAAAGATCATTTCGTACTCAGATTACCACTAGCGCGTACCTCAGTGTTTAGCAACTTTTATTTTCCTGTTTTTTTTAAGGGGATATATGTAACATTTAAGAATAGAACTGCAGTTAAAGTACATTTTTTTGAGTGCTGTGTGAGGGTGTATGAACGCTCGAGTAAGTGAGGTCCTCTGTGAGATGACAACAAGAAGCCAAAATCAAGTATATCAAAAAAAAGGGGTTTATTATATTTTTCCACCCCTACTAAGAATAAAAAAGGTAACATGTTAGATAATATATATCTTTTTTATGAATACATGGATTAAAACATATATAAATACACAAACACTTATTTAACAAAAACACCTAAAAAGACACAGACAGTGACACAGGACATGTTAGACATGGCAGTGAGTACATCAGTTACATGATTTTCTTTTAAGACAAACTGGGAGTTCAAATAAGGCACATCACATAATCACAATCCTGACGGCAACTGTTGAAAATCCTTTTGTAGAGGAGTGGTATTTTCATTAAAAACAGACAGTTGTGGCAGGTTTTCAGTGATTATTTTGCATGTTACAGTGTACAGCTTCCACAGTGTTTACCAAAAAACAAACAAACAAACAGCAGACTTGGTCATTTACATTATGTACATAAAGGCTGATAAGTGTCTCCCTTTTTCTTCTGAGTCTGTTTCTGCTCTGTCTGGGAGGCAGAGAAACATATTCATTGTCTGTAGTAAAGTTAAAAAATTAAAAAAAGAGCAGGTGGTGCAGCAGAAGATCCTTGGGATGTTTTTGGTTCCGCTGAGCTTTAGAGAAGGAACAAGGACTACACATTTTATATACAGGGTGGCACTTTGTGGGGCTCTGTCAGGTGTGTCAGCTGTCATTTAAATTACTTGCAACCCTGTGAGTGGTCATCATCGTATGCCTGGAGCCGTCACTCAGTCTTTTAGAGGCTCTGTGTGTGCCCTTTAACACTGGGGATTACAACCGTGTTGTCATGAGGAGATAACAAGAATATGTTCTGAAGAGGGGCCCCATTATAGGTCGTCACCCCCGGCAGAGCTAAAGCTGCTCCTGCGGCTGCTGTCCTTGGATGCAGCTCCAGGCGAGCCGGCTGACAGGAGAGGGTCGGTGCCAAACGGCGAGAGCGGGTCGTCCATCAGGATCTCGTCCAGCCGGTGCTCCTCCTTGAGCGTAGCGCTGAAGAAGTCTGTGAAGTGGGACAGCGGGTCAGAGAATGTGGTGCAGCCATCAGTGCCCGTGATGTGATCCTGTGGCCCACTGGCAGTGGGGATGGAAGGCACCCCAGCCACCACAGCTAGCCTCTGGAGGTAGTCGCTGCTGGGGTCTTCCTGGTACAGGGGGGGCTGCTGGGGCTGCTGGGCCTGGGGAGACGACTGCTGTTGCTGTTGCTGCTGCTGCTGCTGCTGCTGCTGCTGCTGCTGCTGCTGCTGTTGCTGCTGTTGCTGCTGTTGTTGTTTGAGGAGGTGGGTGGATAGTTCAACTGTCCCCAAGGCTGTAGCCATGTTTGGGAGGCCATGTGCTCGTGCCTGGATCTCAAGCTCCTGGAAAACAAAGGAAGAGAAACCATTAGTTAAAGATTGGATCAATTTCTAAAGTGTTGTTAAGAAAATTACCTGCTCACTCATTGTAGTTAGTGTAGAAATGATCAGAATAAATAGCTAAAAATGTCTGAATACCAAAATGTCCTGAGCTTTGAGCAGATTTACAGTGGACTAACACTGGGAATATCCACACTGCATCTTTTTTCACATCTCCTCCACATACTGAGGTTATGCTGGGAAGTTTGGGTGTTGACACACACTCCTCTCCCACTCACACCTTCTCACAGATCACACAATATGCGATGAGCACTGATCACTTATCAGTGTCATCACAGAGCCCGCTTTGACCTTTATCAACTGTCCCTTTATCGTCAGCGGGGGTGAAGGTTTCCTGGATACTTCTGTCATCTTTGAGGATGATAACAGATGTTTGTGTCACTGTGGTAATCTCAGACAAACCACAATCTGTGTGTGCACAGAAGTGTGCACACAGTGTATCTGCTGACCTCTGTGCATGCATGTGTCACCGTGCATCTCTTCTATAACTGCTCATCATCTATTTCTGACCTGCTTTTATTTCCACTGAAAGAACTGAAAGAACTGAGGTCATTGTGTTTATCCATCAGGTAATTAGAACTGAGTTCCCCGAGATTAGATTAGAGAGAACGAGAGGAGGAGGGTGGGGGGTGGTGCTGTAAGGTGCTGTAAGGGCCTCATGTAAACAACAGTTGCCAGTTGAGTTAAGGTTTTAGGATTGTAAAGAGATGGAAACTAGCAGAAGTGTGAAGTACATGAGGATGATGGAGTCAATGAGCCCTCTGTATGATCTGATCTTTGACATGATGAAACTGGAGTCTGTTTGTAAGCAACTCAATAATATGAATATGAAAGTGTAATTGGATGCTGCCATGGCGCTCAGTGAATTTACATGCTAAGGCATTAGTGAGACATTAGTGAGCTGACTGGTGTACTGTCTCTGAGTACATTCATAGCTGCTTTTGTGTTAGAGCAACATGTGAAGACATGAAGTCTAAGCTTTCTTCCCTTTAACAAGTGAAATAATGTTAACTGATTTGCCTGTTTACACCTTAGTCAAACAAGTGTAATTTATATTTTTTTTGAATAAGTAAAGATTGTAAATATTTATATATATATGTATTTTTTTAAGAATTATGAATAGCTTGGACCACTTGTTTAAAAGTAGTAATTTAATTTAATTCACTTTCAACATTGCTTTTGTCACCTTCTCATTTCTCATGTTTTCCCCTCAGTATTATTGTGACTTCACGGTTCAACCATGTGTTTTAGTACCACAAAAACACACTGAACACAGACTGCTGCATTTTATTACCTGGATCCTCAGCAGCAGCCTCCTGTTCGCTTGCTCCAGCTTCTTCTGTCGGCTCTCCAGCTCCCGAGCGTGCTGCTGCTCCTTCTGCAGCCACCTTATGTACTCCACCGAGGCCTTCAGGATGGTGCCTTTGTTCCAGCGCATGTCTCTGCAGAAAGGAGAAATGTAAAAGATAACCTTTTACACAGAACCCCCTGATGTCGGCAGAATATCCTCCACAATAAAAAAAAAAAAAAAAAATGGGGAAAAGTTTTAACACAGAGGTTTTTACCCCTTTTATGATATGAATAGGAAATGGTGATTTACATTGGGCAATTACTCATCCTTGGACATTACATGGGGCCTCTGAATAGGAATTTTAATAGAATAGTTAAGTAGCTATGTGGAAAGTCCATTCTCGTACCTCCTTGTTCGGTAAAATTAATCCTCGAGTAAAAATAGGTGAGGGAAAATGAGCTAAGTAGGAAGACAGGGGGAAAAATGGAGCAATGGACTTAAGGTTGTAGAGTGCAAGTCATTCTTTTGCAGATATTATTGCTTTTTTAAAAAGGAAAGGGGAACTGTGGTAAAATTGTCCTTTTCCACACAAGTGAGACGTTGGTCTGATCAGCGGCTAATAATCTCTTTTATCCCGTGTTAATGGCACAATGACAACGCTAACCTTCCATTTAAATTTGAAGCAAAGTTCAATTGCGAAAGATGGCCGGTGGATTTCAATTCAGCGCCATACTCCATCTCTATGTTCCAATTGTGCTTCAAACTTTGATTCAAATGGTGTGGCCTGCTTCTTTGCATTTGACCCCTCCCTCATCATTCATGCTTTGAGCTGAACTGCCGGGACCCAGCAAGAGGATGTACAGCTCTTGGAGCGCAGACTACAATGGAAGTTCAAGTGCACCCTTGAAATATGACTGAAATGTGCTTGAGTTCTCATTTGAATTCAATGAACAACATTTAGAGTGTCTTTGTGCTCAGAATTTAATGCACTTCCCTGCCAGACAAGTTCTTGCAGTTGTTTCAGTGATATAAAGTAAAGAGAAGCAGGGCATTGTTTCAGTGAATACATCTCAGATTTCGCAACTTACGGGTCATTCGACTTTGGTATGAGGGTCCCCAGCTCCTTAATCCTGTAGTTGATGTTGTATCTTCGCCTTCTTTCAACTAAGCAAGCAGAACAAAAGAAGAGAAAGAGATGATTAGAGCGTTGTCAGCTGCTGCGCTAAAGGCTAGCTGTAACTCATATTTAGATCATAAACTGTGAGGGAGTTGAAAGGCAGCGGGGGGACACTTACTCAAATTATGGTTGTCTTTCTTCTGTCTCTCTTTAGCCATCACCCTTGTGTCGTGTTCTGTCAAAAAAATAAATCACAGAGGGGAACGAATTGATTAGCAGTGCACACTAATTTAGAAACTGAAAGACAACGAACACAAAACAACACAAAAGGTCCAGTCAGGAGACACACAATCAGTTGTTTTGAGGGAGTTCATCGCTGGGGTCAGCTAGAATGGAGTTTCCACGCATTAGCCTACGCCACAGACACAAGTTTGATCTCCTTACACACACACACACACACACACACACACACACACACACACACACACACACACACACACACACACACACACACACACACAAAAATACAGACACTGAAAGAGCCCAGTTTATCCCCTCCAGCATGTCCGAAGCTCATTGTGGGGAAAAAAAAGAGTAACCACTTTTAAACTACTTACTCCATAATTAAGACAGTTTAGCAAATTCACTAATCTGTCCTGGAGAGGGACAAAAATGTCTGTGCATCCATATTTGTATTCACATTCTTCCAAATTACATAATTGGGGACCTGAGATTGGATTTCCCAATTTGTCTCTGTTGATTCAATCAAGACAATTTAAACTCTGTGTAACAGCCCATTGTCCTCTCCGCCCACACTCAAATGAACCAAATGGCAATTTACTTATTTGCCCATTGAGAGTGAAGGGTTCTTCAGGCATCCTTTCGATTTCCTAAATCAATTAGGCTTCTTTGCTTGATGCATGACATTAATAAGAAATGTCTTAAAGGGACCACTGTTTTTGCACTGTGACAAAAAGTCTACACGTTTCTACGGCCTATTAACAGAACCAATGACAAGCAGGACAGTGTTTGACAAACACTGTCCTGCTTGTCACACACAAATCAGCTTACATATTTGTCCGTTTGCCTGACACATGTAATTGGACTCGATTTTAGCTGGAACAGATGCACATATGTTGCCATTTATAGCTAACACAGGTATACTCTGTTCTTATGCTCAAAGCTTCAATGTTTAGGACTGTTTTAGTTCCTTCCTGAAATCTCTTATTCTAACAGCCAGATCTTTGTGTGATTTTTAACTTGTGCAGGAATGTGAGCCTGTGATAACTTATTAATTGGTTAGTTGTTTGATCAGTGCTATGGTATGAGTTCATACCTGTGTATTCCCTTTTTACAGTGAGCTTTGTGGGGTTAGATGTGGGACTCATTCCACCATTAGGGGCGTTCATACCTTGTTCACCCCCATAGACGTCCAGCATGCTGCTACTGAGGGACACCTGAGGGAGGAGAATGGGGAAAGGGAGAGAAAAGAAAGAGAGAGGGTCAGTCACAGGGGAAACACATTTACATTTCACACACACATGAACGCTGTTTCCTTTCACACTTTAACAAAAGCCACAACACAAATAGTTGTTTTTAGCTGCTGTGTGGCTTTGTTTAGCATTTACAAAAAATGACAAGAGGCGAGTGGAGTTCAGAGATGGTTGTCAGCCCCCAGGCCTCTGGCTCTGGACCCCCACCAGCAGGGAGCTACAGTATCCACATGTCTGCCACAGCAGGACAAGGCAAACCCAGTGCTGTTGTCTTGAATTGCTGTCACGTTCAGATCGCCTGCTCATCTTGCATCACAAAGAGTAAAAACAACTTAACAAGGTCTTAACCTTGCTGAAGCTAGGTCAGTAAAGGGTTGCTGTCCTCCAGCCTTACTCCATCTAACCCTGACCCCAAATCCAGGCTAGCTGCTCTCTTGGATTTGGTTTGGCCAAACATAGTGTCTTGATTTGCTAATGCCACCATTTTAAAACACCCCCCCGCCCCCCCTCCCCCTCCCACTTGAAAGTGGCCCTAACACAGAGATGTGCTCTGTGTTGAAAATAGCATCCCATTAGAGATGAAAAGGCTAGCTAGGTCAACTGCTTGAACAGAGGCAAAACTGTTTTCCTACGGGTCTCTTCTCGTCTGGGAAAGCATGCATCAGTTCTGCGATAATGACGCCTTTTCACGGACGGGGGGAGATGTCAAGATATAGCGTGCTGACACACATGTGTGTCTAATTCGCATTTGTGTATTTATGGGAAAACGCCACAGAAGCCACCATGGATTCAAAGATGCGCACAGCCAATTTTATCCACGACATGTGTGTCAAATCTAACTACTAGACTGGTGAATGTGATAAGGCGGCTTGTCAAGTCAAGAGATGGGAAGGAATGGAGAGCAAGAGAAAAAAAAAAAGAAAAAGAGGAGATGAGGAAACAAAACAGAGGGAAAACTGCAGACATTTCAAATTTCTGCAGTTGGTTCGGTTTGCATGTGCGTTTCTTTTTTTTTCTCATTATCTCACCAAGATGGGAGGAAGGAGAGGGAGTAGGAGGAGGGGACAAAAATGCTTATCAAAATGAAAGATTGCAACAATTCCCCTACTACTCCTATTGTAATCACTTCAATCCCTCTCCTGTCTGTGTTCCTGGATGTGTTGACACGGCGAAACGACGTGATGCATCGTACTGTATGACTAATTAGGATGAATTGATCCATTTAAGCATGGTATCATTTCTGAACAAGCCCATGGGGAGTGTATGCATTAGCCCAATCCAATGGCTCAGAAACCCTCTCCAACAAAATCTCCCACCCCTCACTCCTCTGCTGCGCCTCTGTCCTCATTTTAAACCTACACCCCCTCCTCCCCCACGCCTTATCTTTTCCTCCCCCCTCTCATTCCTTCTCTGTCACAGTATCTGTTGTGTTTTGCTCCGTGTCACTTTATCTGTGTGTATGATTCTTTGTCTACCACTCTGTCTCTGTATTTAAGGAGTTAGGGCCAGATTCCCAGTGTTCCCATCCCACAAACTCGCTCTGTATTTGCTTCAGGTGTTGCTGTGTTCGCTGGCCAAATGGACCCCTTGTCCCACATTTTTGCCCAGAGTTTTTGAATTCCTTCCTGGCTATGAATCCTACTGATAGTGTTTGTCTGTGGTGCCAGTTCTAGTCCTCCCAAGAATGGACTTTAGTAAGAGAATCAGTTTAAATTTAGCGACTTCTATTGTCATATTGTCATTAATTATGTACCTCTGTCCACATCATCCTTCTTTTTAACTTAATCTTCGTTGTTAAACTTCTTGAGTAATGTGAGAAATGTTGCTAAGCTCCAATGAACTTTGACTCATCTCTAGACTTAAGCTGCCCTCAAACTAAGACAGGTCCCCCTTTTCCCAAGCTAGTCAAGTCTGCACCTAAATGTGTGGGTGAAGGAACGTCACTCAAGTCCCAGTTCAACAAGAGAGAAGTCATTAATTAAATTTAACTTGACTTACCTAACTTAAAAACAATGTGCGTAACAAGCAAGAGATATGTTGCCATAATCAATACAAAAGACCTTCATACCATTGATAGTCTGTAGCATTTCTAAACAGTGTTAGTGTGCAGCTGTTAGGGCAATAGTTAGTGTGATTCATACTTACATTGTTTTGCATTATGATGTTAGGCTCCATGCAATCCAAGCCTCCATCATTGAAACCGGATTCAAGACTAATTAGGTCATCAATAACTTCATCCATTGGAAACTAAAAGAAAACAGTAATTTCAGTGTACTCATGGACAGATTGATTATGTTTGTACCAGAATTTTCAATACTGTCCAAGTCTGAACTTTTGAAATCTGAACATTCAAACCAAAATAGACACGAGGGAGGGGAGGGACTGTCGGGAGACTAATCCAATAACAGGCAAGTTCTCCACCGCAGAGTTCTGAAATTAGTTAGCAGTGGTAGCGGGAAAAACATGCATCTGTTATCAAACTAGTTTCCTTCTTTGAAGGGGTTCTCTCATCAGAGACTGCATGTCTGAAGTTATTGATGAGCACATCAGAGAGAGAGGGAGATCAATAATGGCATCACTTTGTTTAGATGATTAGTCTGACCTACTCTCTGTATTGTAGAGATTCAAACCCAGTCCAGTTAGGAATTTAGTCATAGTCATTCGTGCTTGTGAATTATACTGTATGTTGACTGTCCATCCCAGCAAAGTGTCAGCCATGATTTATCTCTCTTAATTTGAAAGAATTTAAAGGGACTATAGCAAAAGTCTTACTAGTGGCTATGAAAAAAACAAGATATTTTTTTGACAGGAATATGGAGTCCTAACAGTAAAGAGTGTCAAGAATGTTGCGAAATCCACAAAAATTATGACCCACAGTTCATCTGTGGTTAAAATGTTTTGTTGCAATTTCATTCTTTTCCAGTCACCACCAGGCACATTTAGAGTTTTCTCAATTTCAGTTCCATAAATTCAGCAGCATCTTAATTCACATTCAGACGCTTTCTTTTTCCATAAGGTCACTCACCTCGCTGTCGTGATTGGCCATAGTGAGCAGGGTGACAGGGCTGTTGGGGTTGCTGCTGTCGCTGACAGAGGGCATGTGTCCATTCCTCATGATCGGCACGGTGGCCAGTGGCTGGCCAGGGGCGTGTGGATGCGGCACCGCGTGGCCCTGCCCAGCCGATGAGGCCAGCTTGGAGCCCAGCGTCAGGTACTGCTTGACCTGCTGATTCTGGCTCTGGTGGAGGTGGAACTTGGAGTTCTCCAGGTGGCTTTGTACCTGCAGCAAAATCAAATCATACATGCTTTCAGTTAGTGTCCTGAATCAGAGATCAGTTCAGTAGGTGGGAGATTGCGCATTTGTTTCTCACATTACTGAAACAGCTCTGACTAAGAGCATATGCACAGGGGTTGTTTGCGGTAGCTGTCGGCTTTGCGAGAAGATGACCTCATTCAAAACACAGAAATAGTTGAGAGTCACAGTTTCTCATTATTAGTCACTCCCTATATTTTGTAAAATATAAGTTAACACTCATATTAAACTGAGTCATATTTCTCTTATGTAGCAGGTTTCTTTAAGGGAATTATGACTCATTCTTAAGGTCCTTTGTCAAGTAAATTGTTACCATATTCTGTCATTTTAGTACCAATACAATGCAGTAGCACATACGTATACACACACTAGCAGTCAAGATTGCTAAACCAGTAACAAAAGCCTTAAAAAAATACATTACATTAGAAAACATGATAAAACTTTTCAACAAAGTATTTTACCAATTATTCAGAATTTTTTCTAAATTTCAATATTCTTACATTTGAAGCTCTGGTTGCGTCCCGCATCGTGTAGTAACTGCAGTCAGTTAAGTGTGGCATTCTCAGAAAAGCAGATAATCTTCAGTTTGGTTTGTTTTGGTGTAGCAGCAGGTCAACTTTAGGCATCCAGGTCTGCTACTACTATCCTGTTGATCTGCTGACTTCTCAGTGAGTGTCTGTCCCCTCCAGTCCCCTACCAATGTCTTATAAGGGCCCTAAGTGAACTAATTAGGCCCAAAGCTGGGGGTAAGCCTTTATGTTGCATAGCATGATAATCACTTCAAACACTGGACTGTCAGATCACCCAGGGTTTGATCACTGCAGGATATCTGCCTTTAGCGTCTATCACTAATTCATTGAGACCGCCCTCTTCTGTCTCACTGACCAATCAGTGGTCAGCTCCCAAAAGTCCTCTTCTGCCTGCTCCAGGGTTTTGGCAGCACAATTGACCCTTGTTCCCCATTGGGGGTTTTAAATAACTTCTCTAATGCCATTTTTAACCAAGCCTTTTCATTCATTCACTTGTTTCAATGTAGACGGTTTAGTATTATCAGTTTCCAAAACAATAACTCCAACAAAGCTATTTTGAGGTCTTTATTACTGTAAATTTAGGGTTATTTTCAGAAGGAACATCTCACCTAAAAATGTCTAATTTACTTACTGGTCTAGAGCTCACAAAGAAGCTCTCTGTTATAACTTGCTTTATTGGTTTATGGCCTGTAAAGTATTTTTGGGAGTACTTAATAATAATACATGCATTGTTTGCAGAGATTTTATAATGTTAGTCTTGTCAGTTGTTGGTCCTCTTGTCTTTGTCTATTACCCAGATTTTTTCAGAACTTCCTCTTAAAAGCATGCTATTCACTGGACAAAATAGTGTGCTCGCTGGGCTTTTTTTTTTTTTTTTTTTATTTATCTCTGAATGGATACTTTTTCCATGACTGACCTCAGCTAATCAGTTGGAAGTAGAAGAACACTCAGATAAGCAACTATGAGGGTGTAGCAGCAGATTCAGCAGACTGTGCTATATTACTTCACTGAAGACGTGATATGAAAGAAGAATTTATTTTTTCATGGTGTCACATTTAGAGCACACTTTCAAAATAGGTGTCATTTATCAAGAAATATCACAGATGATGAAAACCTTGAGACTGCAACTTTTGCTGAACAGTGGCCACAGCAGCTACTGCTAAAGTCAGCTAACTCACTCAGTAATTCCCATTATACAGTGGTATTTAAACTAAAGTATACAAAAATTTGCTAATATTAGCCACCTTTAGCTACTGGTCACGCCAGATCAAGTGTGGGGGGTGTAGTGAATTCAATTAATTGACAGTGCGTTTTATTGCTTGTGATTCAATTTTTTAATGCTGAAGAGGAAGAATGAGTCATTTCTTCTCTCAGAAGTTACACAGAAAGAATTGATTAAATAAGTAACTCGCTAGTACGAAGCTCATCATGTTTTTAGACTTGTAGCAGCAATGAAAGTTTTTCCGAGTTAAACGAGAACTATTACAACATTCTTAAACCATAGGGACTTTTAGCTATGGCAGCTTTAGACTCAGCATTGAATTCCCTCCGTCAGCTAGACTAGCTGCTCTTATTCACCACCCATCCACCTAAATAAGAACAGGCTCATCACAATACTCAACTTGTCAGTAGTGACTGAGAGCTCTTATCTGCCTTCTCCAGACCAAACAAGATGCCAGTTGTTAGCCAATCAACATTTTTTCCCACTACGGTTAGCAGGAGGGATGCCAGGACTTCTACACACCACATCTGCTTTGTGTGACAGCAGATTGTCCTGGTTTCACTTCGGCTTTCTCACTACTGTAAATGCCGGAGACACGCTTGTTATCCACTTAAGGGAATCTGATTAGATTTGAGAGGTAATGTTGCTTCACTCACCAAGGCCAACCTTGACAATGGCAGGCCTGTGCATGTGTGAAGAGGACATGCTGAAAATTATCAATGCCCGCCATACACAAATCAAGTCAAGTCAATTTTATTTATATAGAGCCAAATCATAACAGAAGTTATCTCAGGGCACTTTTCATATAAAGCAGGTCTAGACTGTACTCTTTACACATAGGACAGGAAGTAGATAAGAATCTAATAAATTGAAGCTCCAGTTCGTAAATTGTTGTGACTTTTTTTTTGATGTTTCAGACACTTCAGACACTTTTTCTCTTTCTCAACATGGCTACAGGCACCTGCTACAACAATCGAGGCAGTGTTTGAGGTTACTGGTAGAGAAGAGGTCACAGGTTCACTTTCCATTTACACACATTTGCACAGTTATTTCTGACATGCAAACCCACACCATGTAGGCTAAAACTGCCGATTCACTGATATCCAAACAGTCATTGATTCAAAATTAAAAAATGTGTTAGATTTGACCTTTGTAAACACCTAATATGTACAACATTTTTGTATATCAAAAGTAATATTTATCCACTTTAGCTTTATACTTCCTGCATCCAGTTAAAACATATAAACTTTACTGTCATCAGGAGATCAGCTGCATCTTCCTAACTTCATTAGCTTCATTGGAGACATTTAGAATACCACAATAAAGATGTCAGAACCAGACAACATCCTCATTCGACACACACACACACACACACACACACACACAATTTCTCTTTCTTTCTCAGTAAAACATCTCTTAACTCATTCACTTCCATTATTTCAGTACTTCTAACAATTTTAACCACACATGAAGGAAGCAGATTAATCAAATCGCTGTGCTACCCTGTGAAATCACATCACATGTTTTAGCAGCAGTTATAAAGAAAACGTATCTGACTCATGCAAGTGCACACAACAGCGTACTGCAGCTATGAAGCATATCACAGCAATTCTCTAATAAGAAATCTTTGAAAGAAAATAGCATACATATCCTGCTGTTACAGTGAATGCACTGAATTATGTTATAATTAAAATCACAAATTCTCTTCTCAGAGATAAAAACACAACCCTGGACTCCAGCAACATGCTTAATCTTAGAGTCCAGTTTTATGTATTCTCCCAAACCGTGATTTCTCCAGCCTCTGCTTGTAAGATGGATTTAATAGTGTTGTGATTTACCTCGGAGTTAAAAGGTGTATTTCTTTGGTTCCACTGAAATGCTGCACTCACAATTCCATTGTAACAGACACATTCACAGGTGTTTCTTCTGAGTGAAAAGCTCTTGCATAACTGAGTTTCAGTCTTGCCCAAGTTCTCCTTTCACTTCAGAAAAATCCAACAACTTATGAAACAGGGGGCGATGGTGACATTAAGTAACTGTACAAATTATGGACAAAACCTGGTGGGTGATTTGGATTCATTTCTCCAAAATGCTGTATTTTACAACATACTGGCACAGTTACGGAATGCAGTATAGCAATGCTCAAGTATCTTTTTCCCATCTTGAATCTATGGAGAAAAGATGAAAGTGGAACAAAAAGCCTTCTCAGACATGCCTAGTGTATTTTTGCTGAGCCTGCTAACCAGTAGATAGCTGTAACCACACACCCTAGATTGTGAAATGTGAGGGAAGATAAGACTGGGATAGCAAACCGATCACAAAATTTGCATTCCACGGTGGCTATTCAGTTATTCTGGTCATAAGCGCAGACGATCTCTCTCGCATGCAAACACAAACAAATGCACACACAGTTACACACATATGCTTCTCTACATGTGATCTTGTTCCAATTTCCCTGGCTTGTAGCTGAGTCGCTCCCCCTACCTGTAGAAGCTGGATCTCTGTCAAGGTGATCACTTTGACCACACAACAACGACTCATGGCTCCCCAGAGTGGCAGCGTCTCCTGCCACAGGAGCTGCAAATTCTTACAGAAGAACAAGAAGTGTCACGGCTACGGCTGCATGTCTCACCGAGACAGGGGGGGGAGAAGAGGAAGAAGAAGAGAGGTGCTGCAGCCTCTCTTCCTGAGCTTTTGCAGAAATATCGGAAAGGAAGGCATGACACATCAGCTTATTGGGGAGCTTCGACGGCCGTTTCCTGTGTGTGTGTGTGTGTGTGTGTGTTTGTGTGTCAGTACATGTGTGTGTTTTTGGTCAGGGAAAGGCCTGACAGAGGCAGAAATACAGACGGCAGTTAGGGGGGTTGAAGTTTGTGTGTGTGTGTGTGTTTGTGTGTGTGTGTGTGTGTGTGTGTGTGTGTGTGTGTGTGTGTGTGTGTGTGTGTGTGTGTGTGTGTGTGTGTGTGTGTAGCGGTGTAATAACTTGACAGAATGTGAGTTCCTGCTTGTGGATCACTTCCCTGCCTGCAGAACATCCAGCCCAGCTCAGCACATTCTCCCAGGTTATCTTCATGACACCCACTTCCCTTGGAAGGCTTTTTAGCCCTCAAACCGCAGCCAGGGCTTCAACTAGGGAAACGCATAAAAATGTAATCTGTGGATGTGTGCAAATGTGCTAAAACACACAGATGTACACTCACACAAATGTGCTGTCATGTCCCAGTCACTGTCAGGCCACAACAAAGGCCAAAGCAGGACTTCCCAGAATGGCTCTCAGAGAATTCCTGGACACAGCAAAATTGAACAGGGTCATTGGAAGTGCTCCCTTTAGTCCCAGCCTCTACATAATAACACAGTCCACTAAATCTGAAGCCAGTGACTCATTGAATACAAGACAGTGGAGTTCAACTATTAGGGTTAGCGAGACATTAAATATATTTGAGAAATTTCTGTTAAAGCAAATCATACTACTATTTTTTATTTTATTTTATTTGCACCATATTCACCTGCAAAATTGTTAGCATTACAGCTAACAATGCTAAAACAGAATATTGCTAGTTATTCTTTCATCCTGCCATCTACTGAGCTGCATTTACCCGGCCTCTGTTAATTACTCTCTCGTTAAATCCAGCATGTTGCAGTATCCTGAGGTTTGAGACCACAGTTTTATAGTCACTGCTGATTCGGTGATTATTACAAACACTAACTGAGGGTTTTTATATCTTTTGAATCACTTTGATAAACACATTAGAACTTAATTTGAGGACATTGAATGTAATAGGGCAAATCGAATCACAATGATTCGGTTAAATCAAGCCAGTACAGATTATGTTTTTAAAGAATCAGTTTGACCCTCTAATGCACAATAACCTAATGTCTGCTCTGCTGGTAAATTGCAGTTGGTCCCACACATGTTCATGGTGGATTATTTCATTATGTAGAGAATGGGAGTCAGATACTGTATGTACAGTTATCTCTGCAAAACTGAGTTCTCATTATAACCAA